AACAACGAGAATAATAAAAGAAGAGGCAGAAGGGCGAAGAGAGGGAAGATACAAGGACTCACCAGAATGTAAACGGAAGTTTTTTTTTCAAAACTTGAAGTGATTCCTTCCCCTAGGATGTTCAGAAGCAAGGATGAGTCTACTGGCCTTGAGACTCCGGTGAAAGATTGGGCAATAGACAACGAAAGGAAAGAGATCTCTGCCGAGGTTTCAGGCAAGGACTCTCTGAAGAAGTTCAAAATGGCAAAATGAGAGAGGGAGAGAGGAAGCTCATTTATATAGTACTCATCCCATCATTTAGGCACGAAACACGAAGAGGCGCATTTAATGTGCACGACCTACTAAGTAGGGGAAAGCGGCTAGAGTTAATGATGAAGTAGTTGGGGTAGTTGCAAAACCCTTCGTCTCTTTACGACGCGTGTCCTCGGTGTCAGGAGATCGAAGGCTGGGAGTCAATTGATGAGACATTTTCAAATACTCCAAGATGAAGACACGTGTCCTCGGCATCAGTATATTCTTGTTACTGTAATCACAACACGTACTCGTCGGTTCATAAGTCCCTCTTCCCCCGAGGTACTGTTCATAGGGATCAACGACATCCAGTATGTTACGTACCGATACGTATCCCTCGGTCGGATATGGGGTACATCGGTCCATACATGTACCATTCTCTCGGTACCGAGATGTATCCGTCTAGGTTGACATTTTCTGCTCCTGCAGAGGCTATTGATGTACAGGTCACTAGCCTAGGCTAGGCTAGGTTAGCCATCATGACCTCGTCTTACACAATTGATGTCAGAAGGCACAAGAAGGCAGAAGACACAACCAATGGGGAATGGGCACGTGGCATATTATGTCAGATCAGAAACAAAAAGACCGAGATGCCCTTGCTGACACACGACTTGGGAAAACAAGCATTTAGTGNGGAGGAGTAGAGGGGGCAGAGGGAACCTAATTTTGCTCTCTATGATGGTTTTGGTATAAAATGACATTTCATCCTCGATCCTGAAAGTACGGGAATGCGAAGCCGAGTTATAATCCTCTATGTCTACATATGGGGGGATGTGATACTGGACCCTAAACCTATTAATCTGCTCGCCCCCTTCACTTTGTACTTCCCTGGCCTCGAGGAACTAGCCTGAGGATTCTCAGGGACAGGGCGACGTCGGGGCATCTCAAAAAATGATGAAAAGTGAAGAAGAAGGGAGGGGTTTTCCCACGAAGATCCCCAAGGAGGCTTCCCAAGGGTTGGTCACAGAATGGTAACCAGAAACACCTCCGGTTATCGAAAAATCAAAAGAACATAAAAACAACGAGAATAATAAAAGAAGAGGCAGAAGGGCGAAGAGAGGGAAGATACAAGGACTCACCAGAATGTAAACGGAAGTTTTTTTTTCAAAACTTGAAGTGATTCCTTCCCCTAGGATGTTCAGAAGCAAGGATGAGTCTACTGGCCTTGAGACTCCGGTGAAAGATTGGGCAATAGACAACGAAAGGAAAGAGATCTCTGCCGAGGTTTCAGGCAAGGACTCTCTGAAGAAGTTCAAAATGGCAAAATGAGAGAGGGAGAGAGGAAGCTCATTTATATAGTACTCATCCCATCATTTAGGCACGAAACACGAAGAGGCGCATTTAATGCGCACGACCTACTAAGTAGGGGAAAGCGGCTAGAGTTAATGATGAAGTAGTTGGGGTAGTTGCAAAACCCTTCGTCTCTTTACGACGCGTGTCCTCGGTGTCAGGAGATCGAAGGCTGGGAGTCAATTGATGAGACATTTTCAAATACTCCAAGATGAAGACACGTGTCCTCGGCATCAGTATATTCTTGTTACTGTAATCACAACACGTACTCGTCGGTTCATAAGTCCCTCTTCCCCCGAGGTACTGTTCATAGGGATCAACGACATCCAGTATGTTACGTACCGATACGTATCCCTCGGTCGGATATGGGGTACATCGGTCCATACATGTACCATTCTCTCGGTACCGAGATGTATCCGTCTAGGTTGACATTTTCTGCTCCTGCAGAGGCTATTGATGTACAGGTCACTAGCCTAGGCTAGGCTAGGTTAGCCATCATGACCTCGTCTTACACAATTGATGTCAGAAGGCACAAGAAGGCAGAAGACACAACCAATGGGGAATGGGCACGTGGCATATTATGTCAGATCAGAAACAAAAAGACCGAGATGCCCTTGCTGACACACGACTTGGGAAAACAAGCATTTAGTGCACCATTCCCTTGATAAGATAGCATTTAATGCAGGAAGACTCGAAAGTGAAAGGTAATAAATGTCCTTATGACTCGGCATTTATTACTTCCTTGTCGAGAGAAGCTCATTAAACACTTGGCAGACCGATGACGAAGCATTGGTTGCTCGGGGTCCCGAGCAGTTAAGAGAGAAGACATTCTGCATAGGAATTAGTGTACACGTTGCCCGTATCTAATGATCACCTACTGACCACACTGACAGCAATCATGAGTTTTTTAGGTATAAATACTCCTCATAAAAGGCAAGATGGTATGCAACAAAAAACTTTTTCTCAAAGAGATACGCAGTATTTTCTCCTTCCCTTCTCTCAAAAAACTGACTTGATCGTCGGAGGGGATACGTCGGAGAACACTCCGGCGCCCTCCTAACTCATTTTTCTCTGTTCCATGAACCTCTCTTAACCTTACTGGATCGCTTCATTAATCCACGAAAGTCACCCATTACTGTTCCAGGCCACCACCGGACCTCACAGTCTGTTTTAAACAGCAAGGTTGATCATTCGATTGATTGACTCAAGTTTACCACAGAAGAAATCTGTTCTCTTGTACAAGATTCTGTACGCACAAAACTTATCCTAGATAACATCAAAGAAAAATGAAAAGGATAGATAGCCAACAGGAAAATGGGAGTCATCTTCAAAGCTTTAAGCATAGTAGAACTTTTGGGTAAATTACAATGACCTCTCCTGTTGTTTCTAACAGTTTCACTACATCTCTTCTTGTTTTAAAAACTGCACTGACACTCTTTGTCAGTGTAATCACTTAAATGACATGCAATGAAGTTGTAAAAAATTACAATCTTACCCTATGTTAGTTTTCTTTTTTCTTTTTGGCTTAAAATATCCTTTATATATACACCTCTAAAAAATCTATAACTATTCATTAACCCATCACAAAATTCACCTCACTCACACACATTAAACATATCAATTTCATAGTGTAAAAGGGTGTAAGAAGAGATCCAGAGACTTTTTTTCATCTATCTAAAGTTTTTTTTTTTTTTTTTACAAGAACTATCTGAAGTGTTGAAAAACAAGATTTTCACTCAACTTCTATGGCTTCGTCCATTTGGGTTGCACAAGTTATTTTGGAGCTAAGAAGAGCTTCAACATGAGAGATAAGAGCTGTNTCAACTTCTATGGCTTTGTCCATTTGGGTTGCACAAGTTATTTTGGAGCTAAGAAGAGCTTCAACATGAGAGATAAGAGCTGTAACTTCTTTTTAGAGATTTTTATGTGTTTGTAAATATTTGTCAAATTGATCTAATGTGTGGGGCCAAAATTAAAAAACTACCATAGTGATAATAGGTGTTATACAACTTGAGGGCAAAATAGGGAGTTTGTATCAATAAATTTGGTTGCACCATCAGATCTGCTAAGTAATACTATGTTTTTTTTTAACCCAAGTAATATTAGTTGAAGGGGGAATCCTTACAATGTATACATCCCAAGGGATGTCAGTGTAATCACAAGAACAAAAAGGGGTGCTGTGAAAATATAAGAAACAACCAGTGGGTGATTGTAATTTATCCTAAACTTTTTGAACATGATGTTTTTTCTATAATAATTTACTCAAAGTAGAGACTGTAAGGAAGCATTCTTCATGCACACTTCGAAAGTAAAGCTCCAGCCAAATGATTTACCATGAAATTTTTTAGAGGGGTGCCATTTGATTCAGATTCTTTCCATTATATATTTATTATAAATTTTATTTAATTGTAGATTATTCTTCGTGTATAAATGAGGAGTCCATTGTCCACTTATAAATAGTGAGTTCTTTTTCAATTTAAGATTGATAATCTATCGTTGAGTAAAATTAAATAAAAAGGTAATAAACAAGATAAATTTGACATTATAGACATATATAAAAAAAGAACGAATAAATATCAAAATTAATTCTTAAATTATGTTTTTTATTTTAAAATTGTTCATCAACTTTCAATTATTTTAATTTAGTCAATGTATTTGTCATGTAGTCATCCACTTCATGTGCCTCCGTTTGGTCCAATGGCTAAAATTGACGGAAGAACTTAAATGATTTGAAATTTATAGTTAAGAAACTAACAATTAAAATTTTAGGAACTATTTTGAAACATTAAGTAAATTTTCAGGGCTAATTATAATATTTATTCAATAAAAAATAGTTTAAGTTATTTACAGATGACCCGTAGACAGGACATCCAATTATAAACCAATACTCTAACAGTTTTTTTTTTTGGGAAAAGTATCAATAAATCAACCCATTAAGTCCTACATTTCCTACTTTTGAAAAATTATTTTCATGAAGTTCTAAAGTCACTTGATAACATATTTTCTTTCAATTTTATCGTTCTTACGATACCATAAATTACATATTTACCTTTTATTTTTGATAACTAATTTTTGATAATTGCCAAGCGCCAAGACACCCACACCCACACCCACCTACAAATTTGGATCAATATGCATTTCCCACTTTCCAACGACGTTGTCTGATGTGGAATATATAGAGATATGGGCTAGTAGATGAGATGGATGTGTACCGCCAACAGCTCACTCCTCCTATCCCCCTGTAAAAGAACTCCAAAATAATATTTGATCCATATCTGTGAATCACATGTTCGGTATTCAATTGTTCCCTCTTTCTTGTCCTTTTCCTCCCTGGCCACTTCACTATTTAGTCTCCATAACTCAGTGACACCCATTTCAATTATATATATGTAGAGCCTTCTCTTCTCTGTTTGCTCTNCAAAATAATATTTGATCCATATCTGTGAATCACATGTTCAGTATTCAATTGTTCCCTCTTTCTTGTCCTTTTCCTCCCTGGCCACTTCACTGTATAGTCTCCATAATTCAGTGACACCCATTTCAATTATATATATGTAGAGCCTTCTCTTCTCTGTTTGCTCTGTGTATGATTCTATCTGCTTGTAATTGAAATTTTGAAATTGTTACAACTGGTTTCTTCCAAGAGAGCAAGATGATTCGAAGAAGTGCCCATCTTCGCAGTTTGATTCGATATTTTGATGTGGGTTCTTCTGTATCAAAGGTTACCATCTACCAATCTGTTTTTATCTTCTTCTCGCATACTAAATTTTGTTCTGCATTCGGTAATCTGCTGAGCGCTGGTGTTTTGTTGATTCAATATAAGCCTATTCATATTTTCTTAAAAGGTGGGTAGAGTTTGCTTCTTTTCTTGGAACTTGGAAGGTTTATTCTACAGACTATGTAAAAGATTAGGGAATTCTGTTGCAAATTGAAAGGAAAAATAAAAACTAAATGAAATTACAAAGAAATTTTTGCATGTTGGTACCGACTCATGTTGTAATAACCTGTTGGTTAAAAGGGTGTAAAGGGCACTGGAGGTCTGTTGAATGAATGGATCCTATTGTCGTATCAAAAATCAATTTTTTGGTATTCTGTACCCACTTTTCATTGAATAAATCGTGACACGCGTAAAATTTTTTATTTTATTATTTCCATTACTTCATTACTTCTACCGCGATCAACTTCATTGTGGTACCCACATTTTTTCTGGCATCATAGACTTATCCCTGAGTGTTGATTTACGCTGAAACTTTGATAGCATTAATGGTTGGTTTGTATCAAGCTACTTGAATTTGTTATAAATAGCTATCCTGATTCCTATCAGACTGCTTGATCAAAAGATTCATTGAAGTTTTTTTGGTTCCCTTGTGTGGTTGAATTTTTTCTGTATTTTGGAGCTGTCACTTTCAATGGAATAATGCCATAAGAAGTTATTCGTGATTCTTTTGGTTTTTTATCTGGAGAAAATGACAGAACAGTTACCATCAATACTTTCTTGTGATTAAACTGCACCACAAAAATATTGCTGCTGCATAAACTTAGGGAAATAATTATTGATTTTTGGGCTCTGTTTAGTACTTCATTTTCCATCGTCTAGGTGGTCTGATGAAATTAGGATCTTGCAATTACAGTTGAATATTGCAATGACTAAAGTTTGTGTACTATTGTAGCTTGGAGCTTACAAATTTTCGTCTCGGGCTGCATCTTCTTTGCTGCAAGCCATTGAACCATCCACTGACAGGTACTGCATATTGGAAAAGATATACCAAAAGAGAAACAAAGAAAATTAAACCTCATATTAAAGCCCATGCTTTACAACATTATGGTAATGCTATATTTTTTAGATAGACAATTTCAACAATCAGCAAACTCAGTCTTTGAATGAATGATTCATATCATCGTGTGTATTTGCATGTTTCTTGCAATACAAAATGTTAAATATGATTCTAAATTGGTATGCTGATCAAACAAGTTTTGATAGTTCTCATGACTTCTCTTTTTCTCTCTGCTTTCTGCTTTTGTTGGGGTGATTAGTAGTGCCAATGATGACGAGAAAACTGCTATTGATTGGAATAATCTTGGATTTGGCCTTATGCCAACTGATTACATGTACACGATGAAATGCTTTAAAGATGAGAATTTCACACAAGGCCAACTTAGCCGATATGGGAACATTGAGTTGAGCCCTTCTGCGGGAGTCTTAAACTATGGACAGGTAAACTGCAGCTGATTTCTTGTTCAAGTCGTTATTGTTTATTTGAAAAATTTATCTGATCAGTCTGTTACAATTGTCAACAGGGCCTATTTGAAGGTACAAAAGCTTACAGAAGAGGAAATGGGCATCTCTTCCTATTCCGTCCAGATCAGAATGCAATTCGCATGCAGAATGGTGCCGAAAGAATGTGCATGCCCTCCCCCTCCATTGAGCAATTTGTTGATGCTGTAAAGCAGACCGCTCTAGCTAACAGACGCTGGGTAATATTCATTATTGAACAATGTGTGGGGTCTCTATCCTGCATTAGTTCTTCCAATGGTCAAAGTGATATTTTGCATTGCAATCTTCCACATGTTTGTGACATTTTATTTCAAATTTGAGCAGATTCCGCCTCCAGGGAAAGGGTCTCTTTATATTAGGCCTCTGCTAATGGGAAGTGGGCCTATACTTGGTTTGGCTCCAGCATCTGAGTACACATTCCTCATATATGCTTCCCCTGTTGGCATCTATTTCAAAGTCAGTTTCTTTTCCTCTATGTCCATCTTATTCTACATTCCGTTGTATCTTATTTTTGGTAGTATGACTTGGGTTCAGTTCTCATTAACAAAAAAGAAACATGGTTTCTCGATATACAGGAAGGTTTGGCACCCTTGAACTTATACATCGAGGATGAATTTCATCGCGCTTCTTGTGGTGGAGCTGGAGGCATCAAAAGCATAACCAATTATGCCCCGGTAAACAAATCCTTCTCACTTTTGGGTGTAAAAGGGGTTGCATAATTTCATTTGAATTTTACATTGCTTTTGAAACCATTGTCCTTGTGAACTGACGGTCAAATTTAATATATTGGGGAATCAGTGTTTCATAGACTCTTTGATATTGGATAGATATTTTAGATTAATCATGAGAGTAATTTAGTATTTATCTTTTTTAAGTATTTTCTTTTAATTTTTAAGGATTTAGTTGTTATTTTGATTATTTATTTATTTTAGGGTTTGTGATCTCTTTATATATATAGGATTTGTGAACTCCTTATATATAAAGGGGATTTGAGTATTATTGATTATTGATATTGAATCTTTCTGCCTCAAATTCTCTCTCTGTTCTCATCTCTTTCTTCTTCTTTTCTTATCCCCTTCTTTTTTCCTTCTCATATCTAGTTCTTCCTTACTNTCCTCAAATTCTCTCTCTGTTCTCACCTCTTCTTCTTTTCTTATCCCCTTCTTTTTTCCTTCTCATATCTAGTTCTTCCTTACTACGATCTACATCACTCATACAAGTAAAGGTGGCTATGTTGTAATATGTTCTCAGTATTATTGGCAGGGAGATGGCTTAAGAGTAAATTTCTAATTCACCTTTTATAGCTTATCAGGCTGTGCAATGTTGGAGGAATATTATGAAAGAATCAACACATTTTTTCTGTTGTGTAGGTCTTGAAAGCTTTAAGAAGAGCAAAAGAAAGAGGATTTTCTGATGTTCTATACCTTGATTCCGTGAATAAGACAAATATCGAGGAGGTCTCTTCTTGCAACATTTTTCTTGTGAAGGTATACTTCTGTCCAGATTTTCTGTTAACTCAATTTGAGACTATAGACATACCTAATTACATTTGAACAATTCCGTTTTCTATGAGAATCATGGAGTATTTTAAGTACTCTTCAAAACTTTGGTTCAATGTCAACAATCACAAGGAAATGGAAAACAGGAGAAAATATTGCTTGGTTTTTGTTTTCTGGAAATTGAGAAGTATAACACCTTCTATGTTTAATCGTTTAATATTTTTTGTGTTTACAATAATGCTTAGAATCAATTTCCAGTGACTAGGGCTCATTGTTTGTATTAATTCAACTTTGTAGGACAATGTTCTTTCAACTCCAGCAACCAATGGAACCATTCTCAAAGGAGTCACACGAATAAGCATCATTGACATTGCGCGTGACCTTGGATACCAGGTATGTAGTCAGTTGCTTAAGATCCAATTAGGTTGATTGCCACCATCAAGCTCTAATTATTTTTCAACCGGGGTTAGGTTGAGGAACGTTCTATTCCAGTGGAGGAATTGCTTAGTGCTGATGAAGTTTTCTGCACAGGAACTGCTGTTGGTGTTGTGCCTGTAGGGAGAATAACTTATGAGGGTAGAAGGTAAACAACTGTAGTGATGGAATATTTCTTATCACCATTAATTTAAAAGTTGAAATTAAATGATTAGCACAGCTGTGAAAAGAATTGGCTTAACGTTCAACACTCAATATTGACAGCCTTGAGAAGGATTCAACCCGTCTGAGTTGTGTTTTGTGGCTTGTAGTTGAGAATATTGGAGTAAATTCTAGTTTAAACTATCAATAAAATTCAAACAAATTCATCATCAAACAGTCTGCGGATAAAAATCTGCAGTTAGTAACATGGTCATCAGGTTTCAATCAGTAGTTAATGACCAAAGTGAGGGGAAAAAAAGATGTTTGTCACTTGTGCAGCTTGTGTTGTACTTATATTATGATACCTCCAACATGCACTGTTACCTTACTTGTTGCAGAGTGCTTGTGTTGTATTGCTAGTTTCTTCCTTCTGCATGTTGTAAACACAACTTGAATATGCAGGGTTGAATACAGAACAGGTTCTCGGCTTGTGTCTCAGGAGCTGTACTCAACACTGGTAGGGATTCAAACAGGTCTTATTGAGGACAAGAGGGGCTGGGTTGTGGAGATTGACTGAGCTCTCTATCCACATCTATACAATGTACAGTTCAGCTGTTGTACTTGTTTCTTGAAATGTAAATGGTGATGTTTGTCAATTGATGCCTAATAGGTAAAATAGCCTAATCATCTTTATCATCACTTATCATACTCTGATACTACAGACTCCAGACTCCCTGTAAATCTCCATCTGGTCCTTTCATGAACTTAAAAGGCTTGATCTGAAAGTTGTAAAGTATGGTGTTTTGTTGACTTTTGAAGCAAAAAAAAAAAATCAATATCAGAGCACAAAAAATTAAAAATAAAAAATAGATTACTTGTCTTAAATTGCAATTGCTGATTATCTATGCTAAATTTGGCCTGCTTTCTGTTGGTGATGGTCTCTGTTTACATTGTATTAGGAATGATACGATTCGGCAGATATATAATTAAATTATATCAAAAAATCGATTGAAGGTAGAAAAGATTGTACTCAATATAATTAACTCTTTCTTATACCCGGACTCGATAGAGGTACATGTGAGACTTTCTACAAATTGGGCCCTATAGGTATTTATAAATTGTGATCATTTATTTGAGATTGAGTTTAATTAAAGTTGAACATGAATTTGATTCTAACTTGAGAATCAAACCCGAATTGAACCCACTTTCAATTTGAATTGCAACTCACAATTGTGTAATCTAAGTTCAATCTGATATAAAAAATTTAAACTTAAATAATACTCTGATTAAAGAGTTCAAACTCAACTTTAGAAAGATTTTATAATTTGAGTTGAATTGGAGTTAATCTTTCAAACCGTTCGAATTATATATATATATATATATATTTGTTTCTCAAAAAAGAGGTGTGAGTAAGAAGAGCGTCGACCATCCCAATAGACTCTTACTAGTGATATCATGAGGCTTGTGCCCGTTCCCATGACATTAAGAGAAACAATTGGAAATGGGTATAAGAAAAATATCGAATAACCAGACTAATAAACACTAACAGCATCACCTTTATAATCAAATTTCGTATGATTATTTACTTTATGATTCTTGACATTATTATTTTAATTTNGATAAACACTAGCAGCATCACCTTTGTAATCAAATTTCGTATGATTATTTACTTTATGATTCTTGACATTATTATTTTAATTTTTTTTTATGATCAATCTATTCGGTCGCCATTTTGGAGGAGCATGAATTCAATCCAATATAAAATTTAAAAATAACACGATTAATTGACATAAATATAAATAAATCAAAATAAGGTTAAACAAGAATGATACAATTATTGGGTAATATAGGTAAAACAAATAAGTATTTTATAATTTTTTAAATATATATATATATATATTATTAATTTTTATAAAATTAAATAATTTTGTTATTGACACAAATATTACGTCTATCGAAAATGACATGACATGATGTTTAGAGCTGCTGGGAATAACTTTTTCGGCCTTTGAACGAATAGAGGTACCCAATATTGACTTGAAGCTGGGCTTTTATGATATGGTTGAATAAGGTGCGTCGAACTTGGCCCAATATTAAAAGCTGGGCATTATGATGTCGTGGGCCAAACCTCGTGGATGTCTGTAACCGGCAGGAAAGCTGCCCTCTTATATGATTATTATTATTATTTTTTTTCTGTGTACGATTATGAACTTGGTCTATTATAAGGGGAAAAAATAGAAAAGATTACAACTGAATTTGTTACTTAATTAAACTGGTAGGATATCTTATAAAAAATAAAAAAATTGCTAACGAAACATTACGTGTTATAACATATATAACAGATGATGTTTTCATTCGTGTTTAGAATACTAGAATTTAAGAGAAATAGTGAAAGACAGACACTCGAGCTTAAGGTTGACGATGATTGATTGCCATTGATTGGCAACGGTGATACCTACAAATGGTCATTTTTTTTTTTTTTTATGAAACATACAAAGAAACAACATTTAATTGCCTCATAACATTACAAAATGAAAAGAAGCTAAAAAGATAAATAATCGTTCAAACTCATCCGCTGTCTTAAAAACACTTAACTTTTAAAGGAGTGCACGAGAATTTACCACGTAAAAAAAATATTCATGTTATGGCAGTGTAAAACAACTTACAAGGTTAAAAATACAATAAGGGATCATTTTATGAAGCCAACATCATGTAGACCACTTAAAAAGACAACATTTTCTAGGTTCCAACTTCAGTTTCATTCTTTTGACCAAAGAAACAAAAAACAAAAACTGAACATGGGGACATATTTATCATAGTCGTAAATATTCTTGGATCTGGAATTATTGTCCCAACTGAATGACTATGCTTTCAACTAGATATACTCCACATATCAAATTAGATTCTCACATTTTTTCTTATTTCGGCTCAATACCAAATCACTCGATATAAATTTAAGTAATACTCATCGTAGATTAATTAAATCTCAAAATGCTTAAGACAAGTAAACAATCACTAATTTTTTTTAAAAAAAAAGTAGGTTGTGTGATCCATCCTAAATGATTGAGCAATCGATTAGGGGGGGGGGGAGATTGAGAGAGGAGAATAAACAATGACATCCAACTATTATTTTTATGTTCGATTTTTAGCCCTTGATGTTCAATTAATTTTTAAATGTTAAATATAATTTAAAAACTTATTAATATATTATCATATTTTTATAAAATGAGATAAGTGCCGACGGAAGAAAATTTTTTTAGCTCCCCATTCAACATATAAATGATGTGATGAGTTGAGAAAAAGTCAAAGTCTTTACTCTGTCAATTAAGTTGCTATCACAGATGCTTCCATCAATCGCCATTGTTCTAGTGCTAATGGTGTCTCATCGACCAAACTTCCACCACCAACCATTGAAAAACATGGTAAAACACGGCGGCATTCATGTGATTATGAGAACTTATTCATTTAGAGGTAACTCTACTATACCAAAAAAAAAAAATTGTATCGATATGATCGGTTACCATTTTTTATTATAATATTATAATTTTAAAAGAAGAAATTATAATTACTCAAAAGAATATTGTGATAGATTATAGACACCCGTGATTAATCATGCTCTTTAAAATTATAATTTATATTTTAAAAAAATTATAACTTAATTTTTAAAAATTATAATTTTTTACGCGATATAACTAGCAGATAACCATTTCCACATGCAGGGGGTGGTGGAAACATTTAAGTTTATCAATCAATCAAGTCACCGGATACATGTATGCCTAACTTTGCATTAAATTGGACGTCAGATCGGTCATCACAGCCGATGTAGGGTGTGACCACTGTTTGAAAAAAAGGAACTCCACGTTTTAGTTCGGTGCATGTATCTAGGTTTAATAGTGATTTGCTGCTTGTCGGATTCATACAGTATTCAAATTATATCATGTTAATTTTTTTTAATTTATTTGATCAAACTTGATGAGCTCGAATTTTATTGGGTCAAGTCCAATTTAGATAAATCGAAAAAATCTAAAAAAACGTCTACTGTCGACCTATCGAGGAGGACACCAAGAGAATAGCACCAAAAATCAACGGCCGAAGAAGGAGGAGGACAAGGGAGCCTTTGGGCGTCGCCAGGCAAACCCTTGGGTGCCCCTTCTCTTGATCCTCCTCACCTTGGTACTCCAGGTCCAGGTTCAAGATAAGTCCAGATCCAAGTCCAAACCAAGCCTACTCAAGACAGATTCAAGTTCAGGTTCAACTAATGTTCTTCTCCGGATGAATAGAAGCACGAGAGAAGATAACATGGAGATAGATATAAAAGATTTCCTACCATAACAATACTTGTCAAAGTAATAGAATTCTTCTTCCTCACGTCACCGCCTCTGTTACCTTACCCTAACTATATAATGTAAGCCCTTTCAACATGAAGGGCCTCAAAACGCCTCTAAGGACTTTCTAGAGACTCTCATAACCTTGAGATCACTGTACACACATCTCTCTCTCTCTAACACCAGGCCACCGTTGCTGTTTCTGAGAGTGGAGTAGGTCGTTCGGACCGAACCACTATAAATCCCTGTGTTGATCTATTATTTACTGTTTTACTCTTAATTGTCATTGATTGCTTGTTTGTCACTTATTAATTGCACTTTTACACATACTTGACTGTTGATCTTGCACGAAGACAGTTTTGTACATTATCAAAACTCATTCCTATTTATATATGTTTGTGTTATGTTGAGTTTATTTTGTGTATAAGTTATGACTCGGTCAACAAATTTATTTCACGTCGGATAGTTTTGGGCGTGTGTGTTAATTTAATTACTCCACTTGACACTTCTTNTGGTGGAAACATTTAAGTTTATCAATCAATCAAGTCACCGGATACATGTATGCCTAACTTTGCATTAAATTGGACGTCAGATCGGTCATCACAGCCGATGTAGGGTGTGACCACTGTTTGAAAAAAAGGAACTCCACNTTCTTTTAAGAGGATGTGTTAAGTGTGTGTTCAAAAAAAATAATAATAAATTTAATTATAATTCAATTTCTTTAAAGTAAGAACTATTATAAAACTTTACAAGTAAATAAATTAATTATAATTATCTATAATTAACTTCGATGACCNAAATTTATTTGATCAAACTTGATGAACTCGAATTTTATTGGTCAAGTCCAATTTAAATAAATCGAAAAAATCTTAAAAAACGTCCACTGTCGACCCATCGAGGAGGTCACCAAGAGAATAGCACCAAAAACCGACGGCCGAAGAAGGAGGAGAACAAGGGAGCCCTTGGGCTTCGCTAGACAAACCCTTGGGTGCCCCTTCTCTTGATCCTCCTCACCTTGGTCCTCCAAGTCCAGGTTCAAGACAAGTCCAGGTTCAAGTCCAAGCCAAGCCTACTCAAGACAGGTTCAGGTCCAGGTCTAACTAATGTTCTTCTCCGGATGAATAGAAGCACGAGAGAAGATAATATGGAAATAGATATAAAAGATTTCCTACCATAACAATACTTGTCAAAGTAATAGAATTCTTCTTTCTCACGTCACTGCCTCTATTACCTTACCCTAACTATATAATGTACGCCCTCTCAACATGAAGGGCCTCAAAACGCCTCTAAGGACTTTCTAGAGACTCTCATAACCTTGAGATCCCTGTACACACATCTCTCTCTCTCTAACACCAGGCCACCGTTGCTGTTCCCGAGAGTGGAGTAGGTCATCCGAATCGAACCACTATAAATCCCTGTGTTGATCTATTATTTACTGTTTTACTCTTAATTGTCATTGATTGCTTGTTTGTCACT